AAAGTAAACTACGTTACACATTAGGCTATACTAAAATGGAAATACAATCTGTTTTAACCCAAAAAACAGTTTTGAGAAATTTGATCACTCATGTTTTTCATTATTTTGAGCACTTTACCGTCATACGATTTATTTTTGCATATTACATCACGGAAATAACAAATGTATTCAAAAGTTAGTCCTCCGATAGGAAAGTGATGAAATTATTTTTTTGAGTCAGGGAAACCCTATTACATTCATAGATATAGTGAATATTGCTATATTTACAGTATTGTATTAACAATACATAATATCTCAGCAGTTCAAATATTCATATTCAATTAGTTTGCTACCAGAAATTATTTACTCATTACATTTTCCCCGTATCTTCATAAATGCCGACTTGGGGAAATATGGGCAGTTTTCCGCCATAGCTCTTTCAGTACATATTTTAGCTTGTCTTGTATTTGGTGGCTTAAAACGTGTAATGTAATGTATCAGTATTGATATATTTGACTGTAAACTGTTACTATTTAGTTATTATATCTGTACTTTTCTTTGTTCTCTAAAATGTAAGGAAACTGTGAACACCCCATGTTGAAGACGTGGACAGTCTTGATATCTAATTAGTTAATGTCTACAGTATGTTGATGACGTGGACAGTCTTGCGATCTAATTAGTTCATGTCTACAGTATGTTGATGACGGGGACAGTCTTGGGATCTAATAAATTCATGTCTACAGTATGTTGATGACGTGGACAGTCTTGGGATCTAATTAGTTCATGTCTACAGTATGTTAATGACAGTCTAGGGATCTAATTAGTTGATGTCTACAGTATGTTGTTGACGTGGTGTGTCTTGGGATCTAATTAGTGATATCTAATTAGTTAATGTCTAAAGTATGTTGATGACGTGGACAGTCTTATGATTTAATTAGTTCATGTCTACAGTATGTTAATGACAGTCTAGGGATCTAATTAGTTAATGTCTACAATATGTTGATGTCGTTGACAGTCTTTGGATCTAATTAGGTCATGTCTACAGTATGTTGATGTCGTTGGCAGTCTTGGGATCTAATTAGTTAATGTCTACAGTATATTGATGACGTGGACAGTCTTGGGATCTAATAAGTAAATGTCTACAGTATGTTGTTGACGTTGACAGTCTTGGGATCTAATTAGTGAATGTCTACAGTATGTTGATGACGTTGACAGTCTTGGGATCTAATAAGTGAATGTCTACAGTATGTTGATGACGTGGACAGTCTTGGGATCTAATTAGTTCATGTCTACAGTATGTTGATGACGTGGACAGTCTTGGGATCTAATTAGTTCATGTCTACAGTATGTTGATGACGTGGACAGTCTTGGGATCTAATTAGTTCATGTCTACAGTATGTTGATGACGTGGACAGTCTTGGGATCTAATTAGTTCATGTCTACAGTATGTTGATGACGTGGACAGTCTTGGGATCTAATTAGTTCATGTCTACAGTATGTTGATGACGTGGACAGTCTTGGGATCTAATTAGTTCATGTCTACAGTATGTTGATGACGTGGACAGTCTTGGGATCTAATTAGTTCATGTCTACAGTATGTTGATGACGTGGACAGTCTTGGGATCTAATTAGTTCATGTCTACAGTATGTTGATGACGTGGACAGTCTTGGGATCTAATTAGTTCATGTCTACAGTATGTTGATGACGTGGACAGTCTTGGGATCTAATTAGTTCATGTCTACAGTATGTTGATGACGTGGACAGTCTTGGGATCTAATTAGTTCATGTCTACAGTATGTTGATGACGTGGACAGTCTTGGGATCTAATTAGTTCATGTCTACAGTATGTTGATGACGTGGACAGTCTTGGGATCTAATTAGTTCATGTCTACAGTATGTTGATGACGTGGACAGTCTTGGGATCTAATTAGTTCATGTCTACAGTATGTTGATGACGTGGACAGTCTTGGGATCTAATTAGTTCATGTCTACAGTATGTTGATGACGTGGACAGTCTTGGGATCTAATTAGTTCATGTCTACAGTATGTTGATGACGTGGACAGTCTTGGGATCTAATTAGTTCATGTCTACAGTATGTTGATGACGTGGACAGTCTTGGGATCTAATTAGTTCATGTCTACAGTATGTTGATGACGTGGACAGTCTTGGGATCTAATTAGTTCATGTCTACAGTATGTTGATGACGTGGACAGTCTTGGGATCTAATTAGTTCATGTCTACAGTATGTTGATGACGTGGACAGTCTTGGGATCTAATTAGTTCATGTCTACAGTATGTTGATGACGTGGACAGTCTTGGGATCTAATTAGTTCATGTCTACAGTATGTTGATGACGTGGACAGTCTTGGGATCTAATTAGTTCATGTCTACAGTATGTTGATGACGTTGACAGTCTTGGGATCTAATTAGTTCATGTCTACAGTATGTTGATGACGTGGACAGTCTAGGGATCTAATTAGTTAATGTCTACAGTATGTTGATGACGTTGACAGTCTTGGGATCTAATTAGTTAATGTCTACAGTATTGTAAAGGAGCCATTGTAGTTTCGATTCATTTTGTATTTTAAAACGCGCCATTTTTAATCGGTTACTTTGCACAATTCTACCATTTTGTTATATAAACGGAAAAAGATTTCCAAATATAATTAGTAAATTAGTAAAAACAAAAATACCTTAGATGTTGTAGTAATAAAGGTTAACCAACACAAACATTTACTCTACTTTTAATTCGCTATCCATCCGAAGCTGCAAACAAATCTACGGATTAAAGGCCTCTTCACATATAGACGAAAAAACCCCGACGTCAACTTGCATGTACTGGCGAATAGGACTTGAGTAAAATTCGTTCCAATTTGTATATGTACGTTGTACATCGTTGGTGTGTTCGTATGGATGCGTTTGTGAGCTTTTGTGTCCGTTGCGATTTGTCTTGTTCGTCGGAAAATTTTGAGCATGTTGCAAAATTTGTGGCGAATAAAAGTTTCGTCTATCTTTCGTTAAAATTCGTTTCAATCCGTTAACCAATCAGAAAGTCTTCGCATAGCGTTCGTCAACTGGCGTTAGAGGTCGCAAGTTATCAGGTCGTGATCAGCTAATTTGCATATTAAGCGATCGAGGACGATCCCATGACGAATCTTTGCGATAGTTTGCGAACTTGTACGAAATGTTGCGAATAATTACGTATTGTAACTAATTGAATCCAAAATTTCATGGCGAATGAAAGCGAATTGTAACGATTGGTTGACGTTCAAAAACGAACGGCATACGCTTGCATACGAGTCATTACGAAGGGTAACTACGACATACGAATGCACGCGAATCATAACGCATCTAAATTTCTTGAGTATCACAACAGTTTTGTGTAGTTCTTGAATTTCATATATATAAGGAGGAGGCTAAATATTAAGATTATTAGTTATTCCTTCGTCAAAATGGAAGATATACAACGCCTGAGGCTGCAGTATGTGGCTGCTATGGCCCACCAAGAAGTCTTCCAGCAACAATTTAACATCCACCAGTTCATCAGGTTCTGGTTCAAGCTCTGGTTCCTTATATTATAATTATAAGGGTTTCTTCAGCATCATCTTACTGGCCATTGTCGACTCAGACTACAAGTTCGTACAGAGGAGCCAGAGCACGTCGCATCTGGAGAAGACCATGGCTGCATCCCGAGAGACGGCGCCAATTTGGCATCTATCATCAGCTCAGGGTTGAGCTCAGAAGAGAAGATCCTAGAACTTTCAAGAAATTCCTCTGCATGCAAACTGAAATGTATGACGAAATATTCGAGAGGGTCCGTCATCGCCTCTGGAAACAACACACCTGGTACAGGTTAGCTGCGACTCTACGCCACCTGGTTTCTGGTGCCAAGTACTCAGACATGCGGTACTCCTGGCGGGTCGCTGAAAATACCCCCTCTGTAGTGGTCATAGAAGTCTGTCATGCTATATGTGAGGAATATGTTTATGAGGTTTTGACAGCCCCCTCCAAACCTGAAGAATGGAAACAACTGGCTGATGGTTTCCACAAACACATAGCCATCAGAAAGCCTGCCAGCTCTGGTTCCTTATATTATAATTATAAGGGTTTCTTCAGCATCATCTTACTGGCCATTGTCGACTCAGACTACAAGTTCGTACAGGCTGCTCATCAGACTGCACCTCTGGTTCCTCTGGTTTTTCTGGCACTACAGCAGCCTTTCTCGCTCTCGCTCTAGATGTTTTTCCTCTTCCCCTTGGCATACTTTTTCACTTACAAAACTTCAAAAAAGTTGAAAATCAAACAGCAATACGACATGGTGTCGAGTCGGAGGAAGTTAGAAGGCAAATTACCCCACTTGGTTTTCGCCAGTCTTGTATAGCGTCCGGTAACGACCGGATGCGGAAATACCCTTTCGGAAAGCTTCGGACGGCTTCGGAAGCCTGCGCAAAGTTGCGCTTTGGTTCGCATCTTTGCGTTCCTAATCGCTAACGGAAAGAACAAAGATTGTTTGCGCGACCCAAAGCATTCTAGCGAATAACAGTAACAGTTCGTCACACTTCGTAAATCATTCGCAACAAATAGGTCCCTTACGTTTACCTTTCGTTATATTTCAAATTATGTAACACATGTTCAAACAGTTTCGGTCAACATTCGCCGGAATTGACAAATTTACCCAATTCGCCAGGCTGCATTTAATGGATTCGCCTATGTGTGAGGAGGCCTTTAGAAGTCAGTGAAAATACGCACCGTTCTGATTGGTCAGTTTTTACGTGTGAAAATACATATAACATTTCGTATATCTTCACAGCATTGATGTAAGTTTTAGTTAAATTGAGATTTCAGTTGTTAATATCAATTTAATCTATTTATATACTATAAGTCTCGAAAATAGTGTTGTTGACAGTGAAAGTTCGGAAATATGTTAAATGTCTGGAGTATTACTGCTAACAGTGAACGTTTGGGATATATGTTACTTAAGTCTAAGTATTGCTGTTGAGACTGACAGTTTGGTGATGTTTAAGGAGTATCGTTATTAACGTTGGTCGATTTGGTCGCAGCTTTAGAGGTTTCCGCTGGAGCGAGCGTCCTCCTCCTGTGTCGGATCACAAGGTACACTAACAGGTTCAGGACGCCACCAATATTAGAAAACGTGGTGACGATTTGAAATAACACAACGGGTGGTACTGCGAAGAGAAACCATATTCCGTTTACGGCTAGAGCCCACCACTGGACGAAGAACGCCGTCAGGAACAAAAACATATTCCGTGCCGCTCGATGTGATGCCTTAACGGAGGCACTGGCGCCCCCTAGTGTTGACTCCAGCCGCTTGGCTTCACTTGTTATGCGGCACCAGGTGAGGGCGTAGAGGACTGTATTGGTGGTGAGGATTAAGCACATGGAACCTGTGGTTAGAACGATGTTACTGATCCGGGCTGTCACGCCGTCCAGAAAACAGCTGCAACATATAAAATAATACTGCAATTTACAGCTGATTGATGTGTTTTTTTTGATAAAACAACATTTAAATAAAATTAACCAAATCAAAAGGTACAGGAAAACAAAATAAAACGGCAAACAACTGATACAGTGCATGGAAAACAACACTTTAATACAACAAACAACTGATACAGTGCATGGAAAACAACACTTTAATACAACAAACAACTGATACGGTGCATGGAACAGCACAAAAACAACACAGCAAACAGCTTATACGTTACAGGGAACAGCACATAAATAACACATCAAACACCTTATACGGTACATGGAACAGCACAAAAACAACACAGCAAACATCTTATACAGTACAGGGAACAGCACAGAAATAACACAGCAAAAACCTAATACGGTACAGGGAAAAGCACAAAATAACACAGGAAACACCTTATACGGTGCATGGAAAACAACACTTTAATACAACAAACAACTTATACAGTGCATGGAAAAAAACACTTTAATACAACAAACAACTGATACGGTGCATGGAACAGCACAAAAACAACACAGCAAACACCTCATACGGTACAGGGAATAACACAAAATAACACAACAAACACCTTATACGGGACAGGGAACAACACAAAATAACACAGGAAACACCTTATACGGTGCATGGAAAACAACACATCAAACATCTTATACGGTACGGGGAACAGCACAAAAGTAACACAGCAAACACCTTCTACGGTACAGGGAACAACACACAATAACACAGCAAACCCCTGATACGGTACAGGGAAAAGCACAAAATAACACAGCAAACAACCTTATACGGTAAAGGTAACAGCAAAAAAATAACACAGCAAACCCCTTACACGGTACAGGGAACAACCCAAAATAACACAGCAAACCCCTGATACGGTACAGGGAAAAGCACAAAATAACACAGGAAACACCTTATACGGGACAGGGAACAGCACATAAATAACACATCAAACACCTTATACGGTGCATGGAAAACAACACTTTAATACAACAACCAACTGATACAGTGCATGGAAAAAAACACTTTAATACAACAAACAACTTATACAGTGCATGGAAAAAAACACTTTAATACAACAACCAACTGATACAGTGCATGGAAAAAAACACTTTAATACAACAACCAACTGATACAGTGCATGGAAAACAACACTTTAATACAACAAACAACTTATACAGTGCATGGAAAACAACACATCAAACATCTTATACGGTACGGGGAACAGCACAAAAACAACACAGCAAACATCTTATACGGTATAGGGAACAGCACAAAAACAACACAGCAAACACCTAATACGGTACAGGGAATAACACAAAATAACACAACAAACACCTTATACGGAACAGGGAACAGCACATAAATAACACATCAAACACCTTATACGTTACAGGGAACAGCACATAAATAACACATCAAACACCTTATACGGGACAGGGAACAACACAAAATAACACAGGAAACACCTTATACGGAACAGGGAACAGCACAGAAATAACACAGCAAACACCTTATACGGTACAGGGAACAGCACAAAAGAATCGATAAGGTTCTGGGTAAACAACACAAAAAAAAACAGCAAACAACCGATACAGCACATGAAACAACAAAAAAAAACCAGCAAACAACCGATACAGCACATGAAACAACAACAAAAAACAGCAAACAACCGATACATACAGCACAAAAAACCCGCTATAAAATAAAACAAAAATAATGCATAGTTAAACAGTAAGCAAAATCGATACAGCACAGGAAAACAACGTTATCAAACAAAACAAAACCGATACAGCACAGAATAAAAACGGTATAAAACAAAACAAAGGCGATATTGCATAGTTAAACGGAAAAAAAGCCCGATACAGCACAGGAAAACAACGTTATTAAACAAAAACCCGATACAGCACAGAATAAAAACGGTATAAAACAAAACAAAGGCGATATTGCATAGTTAAACGGCAAACAAAACCAATATAGCACTGGAAAACAAGGCTATAAAACAATAAACAAATAATACAAAACAGATATATTGAAGATAATAAATGTCGAACGGTAGACAAGTGGAAACGTAGACATTTAGTACTGTTTAATAGTATTCCGGATATTTGTCGATAGAACAAATTATAAAATGTCATATAAATTAACTTTGATATTAAAAGTCCGAACATAATCATCAATTTTCAATTTTTCAATGGTCGCCACATGTTTAGAGACTTTTATGGCCCTTAATGTTTATAGTTGTCGATTGTCAGTTAAAAAGCAAACAAATAAATAATCATCATCAAGTTTCCCTTTTTAATTTCATGTTTTTATGAAAGTCTACTTCCATTTACATTCTTTTTACGAACACACAAGGAAAGTCATGATCGATTATCTTTCTCGATGAAATAGACACAGCGCGATGTACTAGTTGTCTTTCTTGGTGCTACACGTTTTTACAATCAATGCGATACCTAAATAAACCCATCAACGAACGTCGACAGAGAAACACAACATCTGATTAATTTTCGGTTTTAATATAAATATTGCAGATCAATTTTCATATACAGTTTTTTTTGGTAAAACAAAATAAAAACTATATCGATTTCCGATGTTAAACTGGCATGGTAAAGTTGGATAGTTATTCGTTATTCGTTATTCGGAATAAAGAATAACTTTCAATATATACATATTTACCAATAACCCACTATTTATGTATATACGGTCTCATATATAAATATTGAGTGGTTAGCTTTATTAAGTTTAACGCCCTACTAACAGCTAAGACGATTTAAGGAGTGCTTTTATGTGTGTAAATAATTCATGACTGTGGGTTTATTTCTGGAGACAGGGTATGTTAGTGTGTATGTCTCCTTGCTATAGGGCGGATCTGATGCCGACTTGAGAGCGTTACCTCACTGGAATAATATGACGACAGCAGACAGGACAGTCATCCACCCGGTCACATTATATTGACGATGGTTAAACCAGTAGTTTCGATTAGCCTTGAAGCTTAAGCATGGAATAACAACCACCCTCTCAAGGCTGTGTAAGGGGACATATCCATATGTTCCATGCTAATAATCAAGATCCATGCTATCATGGTTTTATATCCACCTATATTCCACACTAATACCTCTCAAACAACATATGTCTGGTCGTTACCGCTACCACTACAAGGGACGAATTTAAACAACACACGGAGAAAACACACATACACAAACATCAAATCACTCCATTACCTCTTACGTAATATGTCAATGTCATGAAATTCTTACTGATGTTATTTCTTTCAGTGTATTGTTCTGAGAACATATTTTTTTAATACAATTTATAAGTCCTATAGTTCGTATACAATCTGTGTTTCTCTACCTAATCAACTATGTATACACCCACATGTACCTGTACATGTACCATACTAATAACCGAAAATATACCACTATCTTGGTTTTAATCCATTTGTCACTTTTAACTCCAATATACATGTACTTTATGTCAGGTCTTCTATACTAAATATCGCATTACACTATAATCTTGTCTGTTATGTTCCGGTACAATACCAATAACCCCAATAACTACATATATGGTGTGTTATCTACCTGTTATATACAAATAACCCTAATATACTTTGTATATGGTCTGTAATCTACCTGTACAATACCAATAACCAAAATAACTACATATACGGTGTGTTATCTACCTGTGATATACAAATAACCCTACTATAGTTTATATGTGGTCTGTAATCTACCTGTGCAATACTAATAACCCAAATAACTACATATACGGTGTGTTATCTACCTGTTCTATATAAATAACCCTACTATACTTTATATATGGTCTGTAATCTACCTGTACAATACCAATAACCCAAATAACTACGTATACGGAATGTTATCTACCTGTTCTATACAAATAACTCTACTATACTTTATATATGGTCTGTAATCTACCTCTACAATACCAATAACCCCAATAACTACATATACGGTGTGTTATCTACCAGTTCTATACAAATAACCCTACTATACTTTATATATGGTCTGTAATCTACCTGTACAATATCAATAACTTAGATTAACCCCACATAATATGCTATTCACCTTTACTATACAAATACCAATAATTTGCATATACCTGGTTTGTAGTCACTTTATATATGGTCTGTAATCTACCTATTGGTACCATACCAATTTCCCCAATTCTACGTATCCAGTGTGTTATCTAACAGAAATAGAAAGCGTAAAGATTTGCACACGAACAATTTTGGAGAAATTGGTGGAGATCGAAATATGGGTACATGAACATGTAAGAATTCAAGTATTGTAGATTATGTTATATGTTCTTCAGAGCTTTTGAAATACATTGACGACTTTAATATTTTATAGTTTAGTTCATTATTTTCAGGCGCACATTGTCCAATTCCGCTCACCATACTTGGGAGTACACCTGTCATTGTTGATACATATAAAAATGATTCATTGTATTCAGAACGAATTAAGCAATAGTACGTTTCAAAAATACAGGCTTTCATAGGAAATCTCGATGATGATAAAATCCAGAATATTGTAGATATGATCGACCAATGCAATAACGTCAATGACCTGGATGCTGGTATACTGATGTCTGAAGTAGTGAGGTACTTTTAACTGCTGCTTAAAGTACATTAGGTACATTTAAAATCTATCAAACTGATAACTGTCGAATAGGAGTTCGAAACCTTGGTTTGATGGTGATTGTAGACAAGCTAGAACGTTGTATCGACGTTGCAAAGGGCAATACCGACGTCATCAAAATGATTTTTTTCCAAGGAAATACAAAAAGTCGGAAAAGGCATATTAATGTACAATGGATAATAGTATTAAGCGTTTCAGAAAGGATCTTAGACGTAAAATGATAGAAATGAGAAGTGATATTCCTAGAGATTATTGTAAACTTTTAAAATCTTCTGTAGACAGAAAAAAAACATTATATCAATTGATTTGCTTGTT